TTTACATAGCAGTATTGGTTTTTCGATTCAAAACCTTTTCATTCCATGTTTTGGATCTCAACCGTAAATTTGATATTCTTGCTTGTGTTGTCTACACTCCTATTTGGAGGTCGCGGCGCCGTGAATGGCGTGCAGGCAATTCGGATGTGGGTCTTGGGGCGAGAGATCCCACGGGCCCCCCTCCCTGTGGTCATGTGCAATGCGGTATTTGAAACCGTCAATATTGAGCTTCCAGTGCTTGAAGTTTGAAGCAAGAAATGGTGCCTGTCGTTAGTGCCACCGGTTGAACATCGAGGGTGACTGGAAGGATGTTGGAGGAAGGAATGGTGGACGGGACCGAGTCTACTGTGTTTCCATCGGTGTGGCCGGGGGTGCTCATGTAGGGGACACTGGGGCACCAAGGAAGCAGGGTTGGTACGCTCGCTGGTCCCTCCTCCCCAGCAAAAAAGGGCGTGCGTATTTTCAGACCGGCCAAAATTCATCTATCCGGGCTTGGAGCAGTGGCATTCGGCTTTCTCGTCCCGACGCAACGCACACATCTACCACCCCGGGAAGGCGTGACAAATACAACAAACGAAGGCCGATACTGTACGCCGTCAGTCACCCCGTATGTAGCAGTCCACATCAAGTCCGACGAGTTTCGGGCAGGACAGAGGAGCTATGCCTTCCTGTTTGCGCGCCATCCTCTCTCGAGTATCGCACCGGTCTGCATGACAAACGAAACACGTGGCAGATGAAACACATCTTGGCCTACATGTGCGGGCACTTTACATGCCAAGCTATCTGGGGCAACATTACACTTCTACGCCCCACCACAGCACCAAACCTGGGGGCTCGGTGTATCGCACTTGCCAGCCACCCCCCACCCCACCTCCACACAGCAGCTCCAGCAGCACTTGTGGCTCAACAACCTCCCCCGCCGGAGTACCTCAAAACGGACATAATAACCCACACTCCAAAGAAAACTAGAATGGACACAAGATTTCTTGAGACATTTTACTTGGCGGCCCTCTTCTTTGGTGCTGCGGCGGCCTTCGTCCCCTTGCCCTTACTCGCAGCCCTGGCCGCTAATGTAGCGTCCTCGATGCTGCCCAACGACAACGCCACTCCGACCAGCGCCATGATCACCGCCACCATCAGGACGTTCGAGAAACTCTTCACGTCAATTTCCATGTCGCCTGCGCGAGGGAGCGGACGTGCACGGCCGGCAGGTTAGCCGAAGGCGAGGTGCGACTCGTGTGGCTGGAAGGTAAGGGAGCGAGCGCTTAAGTAGCCGTTCGAATTGGGAGCGCCGTTGGTTGCGCTGGCTGAAAAATGAACGGAGGCTATAGGCAACATATGCAGCACCGCCGTTCCTATTCCTGCGACCAGACTTCGGAGATCGGGGTGCCGTTTTCGCACGATTGTAATGTTGGATGGACACCATCTGCAAAACACTGGTCCAAAACGCGAAGCAGACGGGACGGCTTGGTTTGTCTCCTACAGTAGACTGCCTCACTCACCGAAGCATTGTGTGTTGAGGATGAAGTGCGCCTTCCTGATGAAAGGATAGAGCGGGCTCTTGCTGTTGGAGTGCGAGGCGTCTGTGCCATCATCACCCGTTGACCAGCGGGGAGGGAGAGGGAGAGCGAAAAGGAGAAACAACATGTATCACAGGGGCAGGGGAGTTCGGAAGGTTGAGAGGGAGATAAGTTATGTACAAGTGCGTGACAAAAAACAATCTGAGGACAAGCAAGGCCGAGAGGTAAAGCGAAGGCGTGAATGGGCCAGATGTAGGTACAGACCGGGGGGGTATTCCTGTCATGGCATTTGAGCAGTTCGCGTCGGAAAAAAACAGCAGTGAGAATCGACTCTCAACTTCTGGGGTGCCATGTCGTTGTCAAAATATTCAGTACTCTGTTACGAAGATTATGCATAGATACGACCATCGCAAGACAATATACCCGTTCGACAAAAACCAAAGTCGGTAGTTCTTGCCGCCATGAAAACACGGTGTCAAAAACTGTTGAGTACATGCAGTTGTAGTCTACGCAGATTTTCAAGTGGGCCAACATACCGAATATCGCACAAGATAACACACCCCCTGGACCAATTTTCAAAGCTCGATTACGCCACGACAAGGAGGATGCATCAATGAAACATTGCATTTCCAGAAAGCTCTCGACGAGACACCTTCAACGCCACCGTTTTCAGCGCTGTGACTCTTTCTGCTGTTGAGAAATCGAGATTTGAAAATCGGTCCAGGGGGTGTGCTATCTTGTGTCATTTACGGTATTGGATGAAGTAGAACCGGCCGCGTTGGGGTTGGGGTTTTTGCGTTTGGGTCAGGGCCTGCGATCGCCCTGCCACGACTCTTTCGAAATATCTTTGCGTAGGCAGTCCCATACACAGCCCACCATCGTTCTCACGGCATAGTACTGCTGTACGTGCTGCCAAAGCTTGAGCTTGAGTGGCATGACTTGCATGGAGATGAGCTGCCACCACGGCGAAGCTCTAATATATGTGCAATGCGAACTGCGAAGTCTTTTTGAGGCGGCGGTACACCGTCTGCGGTGAAGGATACACTGGGTCCAGTGATACATGGCATACAGAATCGGTAAATGTAGAAGCTGGCCGGTGCTGGGCTATACCCAAAAAAGATGGTAAATGTTACGGAACTTGTGCAAAACGAAATTCACAGCAGTACAGCCGTACCGCGCCCGTGCTGCACCGTATGCTACAGCAGTATCTTGGTTTGATATCGGAGAGACTGCGGTTTGGGGTCAAAACCCAAAACTGCTCGAATGTCTCCATAGCGCCAAAAACAAGCCTCAAACAGCTTTGCCTTATACCATTCTTATGGTAATGTCATCTCTCTCTCTGTCTGTCTAGTTGAACCCTGCGATACACAAGGTGGCCCTGCCTACAGGCGGTGGGGGGAGGGTACACAGCACACAGGCACAGCACAAAGCACACCACAGGGCGGAGGACCGCAGAAGACGCGCTCAACGGGTGTGATCTTCTTTCACTTACATTTTCCAAGCTGCTCCAGACCGATAGTGAGCAGCTGTAAGCTTACACTTGCCAATACAATCACCACAGGGGCCAGAGTGGTCGCGACGAAGATGTTTCCCACGCCCATCTTGGCCAGCCCTGCTGATCACACACAAAAACAGGCGCGGACAGCGCACAGCAAGAAGAGCCGCGAGAGAGAGCGCCAAGGGGAGCAGGGTGGGCTCAGCACACGTCTCACAAGACCCACAGAGACTATTGCACTCGACAAGCAACACAGCCCCGCTGCTGCCAACCTGGGAAACGCAAGAACAAACGCAGTGTGCTTGCTTTCGACGGAACCTACCCGTCGTACCTGGATAGATAGCTCACATACACCGGTGTGCTTCGCACTGCTGCCGAGCAGAGCCGTACCTGGGGGAGGCGCAATTGGCAGGATTTTCGAAACGAACGGGGAGGGGGTTCCCAGTCAGAAACGCGGTGCAATTGTGTTCTCCATCGTGATTACATCCTCCCGCCCGCCGCGACCTGACACACAACAGCTCACCATCCTCTCCTGCTTCTCCTTCTCCCCTCGATACACCTGCCCTTTGCTTGAATGGGAAACGCGAAGTCAATGTCTTTGGGACCGGAAGCTGCTGCTATCGTTACCAAGGCGGTCTCTCCAATGCCTACTCCAGCGATTGTGGAGACAGCAATTTTCGCAGCGGGTGAGGGCTTTTGTTGAACCTGTTGAAGCGCGTGTCTATAATAGGAGTGTAGTCAGTCAGACTTGCCGAAGACTCGCTCTGATCGGCGTGTGCCGTGCCACGTGACTCCACCGACAGAGACCAAGGTAATTTTGTCTCGCTCAACGCTTTTTCCGTAGGGTGCAACCGTATTTCATGGCTCTTGTGCGCACGCAGCAAACGGCGGGGTTTCTCGAAAACGTTTTCTCTCCAGAAGTCTCGAGTCTCAAAGTAGCCATCATAGGCAGATGCCATCATTCAGTTGTGCCCGATTGAGCCGCACGCACGCACCGACTGACTTGATTTAAGGCTTAGCAGTCGCGCTCCCTCCACCACGGCGGTGGCCACGGCCTTCCTGATCTTGTGCAACTGCTGCTAGCGACGAATCCATCTGCCGCGAATCGTGGTGGTTTCGTGCCTTTTTTGGAAGTCACCGAAAGACAGAGCGCCACAAACGTCAACATGAACATAAGATGGTGGGTTCCCAAGTAACGCGCGGCGTCACACTTAGACAGCACGACGTTCCGCAGGACACCGCAGTTACACTGTACTTTGCCATGTAGTTGTACGAATTACGGGAATCCGTTCTGCCATTTATTCCATCCGCCACCCATGACACACCAGTGTCTCTCCCCTTGGCATCGTAGTGTTACGACCAATGAACGGACACACCAGGGTCTTCGTGAAAAAAATATATATTCACGACACATAGATAGGCCGCCCCCCTCCCCCCCCCGCGGGAGGACAATTTCGATTTCTGTCTTATTTAGGAATTACAATAGGGGGCTTCGTTCACGAACATAAGTCATTGACCCCCCTATTGCAGATTTTTCTATCCACGGTGCCCCTTACCCAAATATATAGAATTTGAGTCCCTCCCAAATCACCCCCCCCGCCTCACGGACCCCGATTTTCGGTTAGTTGTAGGCCTATGTGTCTAGAATCTTTTTTCACGCAAACCCTTGGATACACGGTAAAATGTTCTGATTAGGCCCTCTGGCGACCGAAGGGTTGTGCCTCGAGCATGATGTGCGCACACTCAAGGGGTTGGGGTGAATTGAAGGGAATCTGCCCTGCACTGTCTGATAACTCTTTTCCCGAAAATCTAGACCGGCACCGCGTAGCTTCTAGTGCAGTTGACACATTTTCGCCGCCTCGATGCCATTCCTTGCCATCTTCACACGTGTCGAATTCGTACAAGATGAGGCTCCACCTCTCAACAGTCCGTAGACTTTTGTTCTAACAATTTTAGTAGCCTCATCCTTTCACACCACCCATGCCATGCCTCACCCCCCCCCAACGCGGGCAGGTTGTTTCTGGAGCGTCGAGTTGGCCTACCAACGCGTCCCAGGTGTCCTGGAAACGGAGGTGGGCTACACCGACGGTCACAAGAAGGACCCGACGTACCAGGAGGTGTGCTCGGGATCGACGGGCCATGCCGAAGCCCTCCGCGTCAAGTTTGATCCGCGTGTCGGTGAGGTTATGTCGTGAGGACCAGTTGTTAGTTGAACGAGACATTGGCTTCTTGGGAAGATGGAGGGGGGGCGTACTCTTATGTTTTGCATGCCGTAGTGGTTAGACCATTGACCGCGCGTCCTCGAGAAGAGCATTGTTCCCACAGGACCATCACCGATGGCCAATCGGTCCTTTGAACACTGCGCCCCGGTGGTCTATTTATAGTGGTATCCTCGTAATCCGCTAGTCGCAGAGGTCGTGAGTTCGAATCCCCATGGGGTGAAAAATTTACGAAATTTGCGGGTGAAAGCGAAATATAGCTTACAAGCTCTCGTGAGTACCAAACTTCGACGTTAGCACCGTTGACGAGGGAAAGGGACGGCTGGACCCTTTTCGCGATGAAAATAAAATTCAACACGAACCGCAGGAGGAAGGTGGGGCATGAAAAGAAATTAAAAGAAGAAAAAAGCCCTGGTGTTTACCCCCTCCTGTGTGACCCTGGATGGTTGTAGTTGTACGAAAAAATACACTGAAAAAGTGTAGTACTCTACATACGCTGAAAAGTGTAGTACGCGTCTCACCACGAAAAATGGGGGTACTGTCGCCATAATAAATAGGACGAAAACACACACACACACACACTTTGCCAAAGTTGGCTGAAAAATGTCTTCGCTAGTCTGCCTATCCTACCGAAATCCCTTCCCGCCTTTCAAACCACTTCCTACTCCCCAGTACCGCTACCTTCCTTTCCTCTCTACCCCATGCCTCAAACATTTCCCTGTACGTCCCTTCTATTTTTCCCAGCTCAGTCATGTATACTTCCCTCTCCTTCATGTACCACTGACACTCCGCGACTACATGAACACGGTCTTCGCATTCGAAGCCGCAATCACATTTGAACTCGTCGTCTTC